TTTAAAAACTTTTCTATTTTATTGAAAAATTAGTATAAATTTCCTAATTACGCAAACATTATAATTAAAAAACATGTCTTTGGATATTTATAAGAAAAATATTCTATAGTGTTGTCTAATTCTTTTTCTCTCATGTATCTGATAATCAATTTTTTTTGTAAAATATTGCAGATAACACAATTATTATATTCTATATAATTCATAAATATTAATTATCATATTTGCGAAAATAATAAATAGTTTAAAAATATTAATTTTTTAATAAAATAGAATCATTTTTATATAGAAAAGAAATACCACGTTTGGTAAAATAAAAACAGACCACGCACCTTCTTTCTTTATTTCGACCTTCGGTTGGTTTGGACCTTATACTTTTGACGCATACCTACGTGTCTTATCTCTGTTTATTCCTTCTACCCTTCTATCGCTCCTGCCTACAAACATTTCGAGTATCGAAAGAATACGTGTCTACGCTTTGTAGTATGCAGTCGCACACAATCGCACACATATACAACCAGGAGCAATAACTGCGAAGCATAGCATCAAGAGGAGACCGAGAATAGGAAAAACTGTATAGCTATATTCCGTCTCATTCTCTCGCAGGCTAAATCCTATATGTTTGTCTCTTTTTCTCTCATTATTTAGTATAGCAGCCGTTTTATAGCTTCGTTACAAAGCTTTGTTACACAGCTTCGTTACATAGCTGCGTTACCGTTTATTTCCTTTTCAGATCACTCCCATTCTAAAGAAGTTTTCACTTCAATAAAACAACGAAAAAAGAAAAAGATTTTAAAATCGTTTAATTCAAAACCCGATGAAACCAAAACAATACGACCACAATTGTTCCCTTCTTTAACAGCATCTACAGTTATTAGTTGCAACACAAAAAGAAATACTTGTGTATGCTAACCCATGATAAAGATATCTCACATTCACAGAAAGTGTGAAAAGTGTAAGAGAAAAAAAATTCATCTACCTGAGTTTCAAAAAAAAATATATTATATTTATTTCGGTTAGAGGAAAACGTATCTTTCTGTCGATAAATATTCTAGAATTTTTGTTTCTATCTATTGCTATCGCATTCAGCATTCCATCTTGATAGATAGAATTTTGAAAATATTAGTTTTTGTCAGCTACCTACACTCCAAGGTCGGTTCCTTATCATGAGAAAATAATTATTAAAAACAGGAAAGGTCTGTTGAAATTCRATCTACATTTATTATCTTTATTATTGATGCGATAATATTCATGCTTATAGTTTTTTTTTACAACGTGTTATATCTTTTCTATTTAAAAATGTTTCTACTTTATTGAAAAATTAGTATTAAATTCTTTATTTTGCAAATATTATAATAAATAATTATGAAGTACATAGAATATATAATAATTGTTGTGTCTGAAATATTAAAAAAAACAAAAAGGATTACCAGATACA